GCTGAGAGGGCACAGTCAGAGGGATTCAGGCAATATCCTGCTGGCCTTCTGATACCTTTTAGTCTTTATCCTAAGAGAAATGAGGATCCATTGAAATGTTTTAAAAAGTGGAAATGGCACAACAAATTTTGTACTGTGAATTGAAAATTTCAGAGACTGCACTAGAAGGGGCTAAAGTCAATAGAGAGAGTTGAGAGAGTAAGGTCACAGTCTGGGCATACGACATGGAATGAGGCCAGAAGAGTGGCAGTAGAGATGGAGAGAAGCACATGCACTGGAGATAGGGTTTGGAAGTGATAGAACTTGGCAATAGATTGAGTATGACACAGGAAGAGAATAAAAGCAGATTGTCAATGATAACACCTAGATTTCTGGCTTGTGCACTGAAATGGATTGTAAATGCAATATTAGGGAGGATTTATTTTGCAAGGCATATTATTTTAACCACAGTAAATTTTGGGTGCTTTTGAACTCCAAATGGAGACATTAAGTTAAAGTCAGATAAACCAGTGGAATTCAGAAGAATATTCTTGGCTAAAGATATGAATCTGGAAATCATTTGCATGTAGCTAAGAAATGATGCCCTGAGCTGGAATGAGATCTAGGATGAAAATAGGGTCTGGATAGAAGTTCTTGGCCAGAACCTTGAGGAATGTCACCATTGTGGCTGGGCCACAGATGATAAATTCTGCTACAGAAATAAGGTTAGTGTGGAAAGAGGTATACATAGAAATAACAGAAGAATATCACAGAGAAAGGGCTCAGAATGTTTCATCGAGAATGTTAACATCTTAAAACGTTTGCTAAGGGGTCAAGAAGGACAGAAAAGTATCAAAAACTCCCCTTTTGATGTAACACTCTGGAGATGACTGAGCACCCTGGCAATGGCAGTGAGGTGGAGTGAGGAGGCAGGCGCTAAAGCCTAGTCAGCCGGGAAGTGAGGCGAAAGGGAGGCAGTGGGAGCAGCAGGAACACACAGCTATTTGCAGAATTTTGGCAGTCAGGGGTGGGAGAGAGAGAGGTGACTAGAGTGGGATGTGGTTTGTTTTGTTCTCTGTATTGCACATATTTATACATGGTTGAAAGCTAAAGGATGGGATCAAATGAGGAAGGAGAAGTTGAGCTATATGAGAGAGAAGGAGGACAATGTATGGTAAACTTCCTAAGAAAGTGAGAAGATGGAAAACAATTCAAGAGATAGTTAATGGCCTTCAAAAGTAGGGCCAGCCCTTCTACTTTACCAAAAGAAAATTTATGGTTTGTTTACAGATCTAGATAGGCTTGTAGTTTGGTGACAGATGATGAGGGAATAATTGTCTGAATCTTTGCATTTTCTCTGTACGTAAGAGATGAGGCCATCTTCTAATGGGGAGGTTTGAACGTCCAAGGTTTCAAAGTAGAGGAGAAAGTGAGAACATTACTGTGGAAAATGGAAGGACTAGGCAATTGGAGAAGTTATTGGGAAACTAGGTAGTGGTAAGATTGCCAGGCCGCGTTGAAGGCCTAACTGGGTTTGCTGATTCTCAATTTATGGCATTATTCTGCCCTGTGCTTTATTTCTCAAGTTGTGTTCAGCTCCCTGGATTCTGGCAGAGAGAATGGAGAGCATAGATTTCAGCTAAGGTAGGGTGGAGGAGACGGGCTTTGGAAGGGGAGAATTGAATCTGAGAGCTTCAGTGGTACATGGGCCAGACCTATGAGGGTTGAAATCACCCAGGATGATGGTAGAGTTTGGAGAAAAAAGAAGGCCGTGAACCCTGCAAAAGAATCTTCCCTGAGAGAAAGGAGATGCTGGGGGAGGTACTAGAGGGCCAAACTCAGCCAGAGAAGATCATAATATAGCTGGATTGCATGCACTTCAAAAAAGAAGGGGTTTGTTACTACCAAAGCAAGAAGGTGGAAGAAAAATACCTGCAAAAATGGGAAGCCAGGAAAGAAATCCCAAACCCTGACTCTGAGGTTCATGGGTAGGGGAGGAGGGATAAATCCACAGCTGCCATATGAGAAAGCTGCAAAGGAAGCAGGACCCTCAGGGGAGAGACGGGTTGCAGGTAAAGCAAGGAAGTTGATGTTTACAAAGCTATAGTTGCAGCGAGCACAGTTGAAATGTGTGGATTTAGACTGAGGTGAAGCTTTGTATAATACAGAATTTCAGATTGCCCCTGCCCTATTTCTTTCAATGTGCGAGAGCTGCTTTGAAGCAAGCTTCACTTTGACTGCCCTAGATGAATGCTTTAGAGATCACTGGAGAAAAAAGGTTAGGGATATCTGGCCGTACCGTTAATTAATTGCTGTGGGGGAGGCTGTTCAATTCTTATCCCAGCCACAAGTAAAAAGAGTAGTTGGGGAGTGGTGCCGAAGAAAGAATGGATTTTTTTTTTCATGCACAAGAATGGCAAATCAAAGTATGAAAGCAGAAGAAAAAAATTAATGAAACTCATCAGCTTAACCTTGATTTACAGGATTCTGAAGGAGGACAATGGTAGCGCTCTGATAATATGCAATATCATTGCTTTATGTGTAGACCTCTTCTGACTTCGAGCAGTTGGTAGTGAAAAGCAAGAGGTTCCTTGACAAGTGTGTTTATCAAGCACATCTGCAGTGTGATTTTGTACGCTCAGTTGCAGCTCTGTCATTCTCCTCCATACTCATTTAACATGATGGACTTGTTTGGCAAATCCTTCAGGTAGTGGGAGGACAGGAAGAGGGGGAAGCTTACTCTGGATCATAAAATAAAAGATATTGGTCTCTGTCACACACTCCAACTCTACCTTCTCCTCATCCTCCTTGATCATTATGATTATTTGTAGTAAAGAAAATGAATGGCTAGGTGGTGTAATCCTGTGTATCTGTTGATTAGTTGCTCAGGGCACCATGGAGAAAGGATTGTGGTGTAATTGTCTGGTTTGACTTGAATTCTCGATTAGGGGGAAAAGAAGTTTGACAAGTTCTTTAACCTGCAGCTCACGGAATTTCATGGAGTCTTACTGAACAAGATAGTTCAGATGCATCTCTCCAACCGTGATGTTCATACTAGTCAGTAGCAGCTGGCATCTATATACTGCTATATACACACTGTGCTGAGCACATTCGGTGTATTTCCCCCCATATCACAGCCTGGTATTTTTTACTCACATATTTCAGAATATATAACTGAGATTCTTGGGTCTAAGCCCAAGATCAACCCAAACTCTCAGCCAGACATATCTCCAAGTGCCATATTCTTCTCCAGAACGCTCTAGAGCAGTGCCGTCCAACAAATATAATGAAAGCCACGTGTGACATTTTAAGTTTTCTAGTAGCAACAGTGAAAAAATAAAAAGTGGGTGAAATTAATTTTAATAATTTATTTTATTTAACCTAATATATCCAGATTATTATTTTATCATGTCATCATTAGTTTAAAAATTATTACTGAGATACTTCACACTTTCTTTTAATGCTACGTCTTTGAAATGCAATGTATCTTTTACATTTGCAGAGGGTCTCAGTTTGGGCTAGTCACGTTGGCAGTGCTTGATGGCCCCCAGGGGCCAGTGGATACCGTACCGGACAGCTCTGCTCTAGACCCTTAATGGAAACAGAGTTTTTAATCACAGAGAGTTTAGTGAGTTTGTTACAGGTTTTGCTTTGAGATGAGTAGAAAGAGGCCTTCCTGGCCTCTGTGGTCTCTGTGACTGGTCTCTGATTCACATAGGGTTGGGAGTGTCCTTCCTCTTGTTTCTTTGTCCTGTGTGGTGGCCTCCTCTTTTAAAGGTATGTGGGTATGTTTGGGTCCGTGTGTGTGTTCATTTTCACAGTAAATCTCCATGAAGTGTATGGAGTCCTTAGAAAATACATTATGATACATAGAGTAAATAAGAAAAAGAAACAGATCGCTGCCACCATTAAGATAAATGTAACTTTGTATCCCGTTACTATCTGTTTTAATTTGGCAATTATTTAATTGCTACAGATCTGTCTTTTTTGCCTGTGACCAATCCTTGTAGCTTTATAGGCTATACCTAGGCTTTGCTGAAAGAATTTCTCTATAGGAGGAGAAAACCAGATTATGCATTTAATATAGTACCTGAGAAGTAGGAAGTGATTAATATGTTATTATTATACAATATGTTCAAAGTCCTTGTATAGTTACTACTAAAGATCAGTATGAGCAGAATCCCTAAACAAGAATATGAAAGCAGAGTATATTCTACACTGAAGTGACAAAACAGCTTTGCAAATAACCCATACCTATTTGTGGATGGGTGCCTTTAATTTTAGTTGACCTTAAATTTTAGGTCCAACATTCCTTAAATTTTAGTTGACCATTCTCAGTGTAAGGATTCAGTTACTTTTGTCTTTTCGTATAGATGTCATTATATTGATAGCTATTTCGAAGGCCCTTAAGTTGTGATTTTCTCCAATTTTCTGAGGTACTTACCTTGAGGTTTGCAGTTTGATGGGTAGAAAAAGAAGGGAATTTTTAATGTCTTACTCTATGCAATTATACCTAATTTTTGTTACTTAAAAAATTTTAATTCAAATAAAGAAGCATTTTAGGTTTGTATAAACAACAGTACTAATAGGTATTTATGTGAGCTAGGAGTAGAATTTTTCTTATGCACCCCCCTTTTAAAAACATCTTCTTATAAATTAATGTCATAGAAAATATTTGGTTCAGCAGCTCATGGTGGTAGATTGCAATATTCCAGCTTTGTATGTGTCCAGCACCAGGGCCCTAACAAACTGTGCCTGCTCTGTTTATGATACCTAATAAAGAGCAGTCAACCATGATGATATTACCATACAAGATCATTGCAATCACACATAAACGTCTTCCCATGTTGTTTTTAAAATTGAACAAACAGGTGGTTATTTGTCATTGATGTAAAAAATGGACAAGTCACCCCATATCCATAATTTGCCTTCAGCCTCACTGTTCTGTGGAAGATTTAAGGGTATATCCACGTTTTCCTCCTTTGAACTAACCTAACTTTTATCTATTCATTCTTGTGCAGAGGTTACTACATAATAATCGTGCCTTTGAAGAAATCTCGCGGGAAATTTATCAAGCCATGGGAGAGTCCAGATGAAATGGAATTAGATGAGGTAACTATGTTATTGTTGGCTATGTCTTTCATTAGTTATTTAATTTGCTGCATATCCACCCCCTCCCTTTGAGACCTTTCAGGATCTAATCTGGGTGCTGGCTTCTCCATACCTAGCTGGTTGGATGGTTCAGTATTGTGGGCATGCTAACCCCTGGGAATCCCAACAAAGATCCTTTGGCTTTAATTAAAAAACATTAAGCTGCAATAAAGCTTACAACCTGTCTATTATTTGTAGGCCTTAATATTTTGCCCCTTGCCCCTTGTAAAACATGATGCAGAGGTGTGGAAGGTGAAGTGAATTGTCAGCCAAGACTTAATCACCATTGATATAAATCCCAAGGTCCCCTTCATTAGTGCAACAGTTGCTGAGGCTGTTACAAACACCAAATTGCAATTTGCAGCAGAGTTCATCTGACCTACTATATATGGTCTTGACCAGTTTCTTGCAGAATTCTGTTGATTACCAAGTGTTTGCCTTATTCTATATTCTGTAGGTTTTCAGGGTCAAAAATGTATTTAACAATAGAGAAAACAAAACAAATCACAAAATTGTGAGCAAAGCAACATATATAGAACAAGAAACAACAAATACTAAACATATAATGTGGATTTCCAAAATCTTGCAACAGCAGGTGCATTATAATTGGTACTCTTCTTGTGTAAGGACATTTTTGAAAGGTAATGCATAACATGAAGAACAAGGCATAATTATTACATACTTCTATTTAGATAAGAAAATATGATCCAGAAGTGTTGAACCAGATCCCAGAGGACCACAGCATGTTAATGAGTAGAATTCACATTTTAAAATACAGAAGAGCCTTTGTTATTTTAACATGATGCTGTTTTCAATCAGTTCATAAGGCAAATAACCATTACGCCCCCATTTGGAAAACATGAGATTTTAATTTATTGGGTTTATTAATAGCATAGGCCACATCTTGTAGTACAACCTTGTATTTCTAGGTATCTCTTCTACCTCAAATTAGTAGAAACAGAGCAAGGAAGAAAATAAATTCCCTACCTACATTACAGAGAGGTGATGTTTATTTCATATCTATGTCTGTACAAAGGAGACTGTGATCTGACCAGAAAGGTTGTTCGCTTTCTTTGGCAGACATATGTCATCTCTAGAAGTGGGATTTATGTTATCACTGGCTTCATTTATCTGAATTAAATTTAATCAAGTTCAGATGAGGAGATGAGTTCAAGGTTAGGCCTATGCTTTTCTGTCACAAGTGATTAGATGAGCATTGGGGCTGTGTAAAATGAGACATTATTTCAATAATGTCATCAAGTAATTTAGATATGTTATTAATTTAATTGTTTTGTGTTGATGGTAAAGGAACAAAATCATTATTCTGCGATATTGAGAAAATAGTAATCCTTTAACTGAAAATGCAGAATGATCAGCTGGTCTTTCCTAAGCATTTTGAAGCCAAACATGATTTTACTTGCAACTGACTAATCAGTTAATCTTGATACATTCTTTACTATTTTAATTGGTTCTCAGCTGAATTACAGAAGTGTCATCATTCCGTTTAAGTTGGAATGGGATTTAAAGTGCAAAGGCAACTTATAGATCTATGAATTGTTCTACCTATTAAAAAAAAGATTTTAAGACATTGAGAGCCAAGCCAAAATGACATCAGATACTTTTAAATAATAAGCTTTCCTTAGAAGTAAAACCATTTGGTAGTAAGTAATAGAAAGTGGTTCTCTTTTATAGCCACGTTTTAACCTCCAAAATGCACAGCAACACTAATGGATTAAAGTATAGGGCTATATGACTTTGAACTTTCTTGCAATTAAATTCTATGGGTCTCTGCTGCTGATTCCCATAACAAAGGGTCATTTTAATCATCCAAGTTGTGGTGCATTAATCTGTATAATAGTTTGATAAAGAACATTTTATTAATTCAAAATTTTGGGGTTGGGATGGGTTGTTTCCCACTTTTCTTACTGATATAATTGAGACCACATTGTAGAATTAATGGTGGAAGAAATAAGATATGCATTGACTGGAAAATGAAAATTATTTCTGATAAGTAAAGTCCTTGATATATCTTCTGGAATTACCTCAATAATCTTGTAACCATTGTGGAGGGGAACAAATGAAAGTAGGCTATGGCCTCACTTTATGCTTACTCATCCAGTTTTTGATCCCTACAGACAGTTTTTTGCTGCTTTTTTTTTTTTCTACCATGGATAATAAAAGCATTGTAGTAATTTTATCTATAGCTTGGTACTGCCAGGTTTGACAAAGCAGTGTTCCTCTCTTAAATGTATTTGATCAAGTAATTTTTCAGAAAGGCCTATAATTCAAATTGTTGGAACCATATCATTGAATAGAATAGTGGCCTAAGGGAATTTCCACACATATGCCTCATACCTAGGCCCATAAAAAATTGAAAGAGGCTTTCCAAACAGTATTACTCTCAAAATTATCTTCTGAGTTCATTTATCCTTTGTTACGGGGATTCTCTCCACATGATAAATTTATAAACTGAAACTCCTATTGTCAAGGTCAAACTGGGCAGAGCAGACATTGATAGTCAAAATGAATTTGGAGCAGAATGACTCCCAAAATGTTAGTGATATTTAATTCAGAGCAGGTCATGTAATATATCATGAGTTTTTCATTGCATTGTACTTCAAAGGCTTGTCGTAAAATAATGTGGTCATTTGTGGTTGTAACTGTAACATGCTGGCTAACTTTGGTGTCATCTGAGCCCATTTGAACCATTTGACCTGTGACATAGGAAGCACCCTACAGAGATTAGAGCAATCTAAAGGGGCAGAGTGATGTTCCAGGTTTGACTTTAATGAATGACGGCACTGGATCTAAGAATACCCAAAAGCTCAAATATTTTATTCTGAATTACTTCCTATAAGTCTTCTAAAGAAATCCTAGCAGAAAGTGATTGTGGGAATGACAATGATATGGATGAATTATGACTATTAACTGCATCTGCAATATGAATAAAATCAAGGTAGGATTTTATCAGTGAAGTAGAAGAGGGGACACAGTCACATAAACAACTGGTGATAAATGTTTTTGATTACCCAACTTTAAAAAGCTGTTCGGCACATCTGCAGTGCATTTTCCTTCTTGGTGTAATAGGCTACTATCCTTTACTACATATCAACAATAACCTGTGTAATGACACTTCAATTATAATATTGCATTAAATATTTGGCATCAGATTTTTTAAATTAGCATATGAAAAGAATCAAGAAAAAAGAAATAACACATTCATCTGTCTTGATATAAGCAGATACATAAAAATTATATGTATAAATACACAGAGTTAGAACAATTTAGAGTATCAGAACTTAAACATTATATTTCCTTATGATATTGTATAATAATTAAGTAAATTAAATTATCGTTGAAAAAAATCTCTAGCATGGAATTTCATTTTATTTCACTAATTGAGTCTAATTATATATTGAGACTTTCTATTGTGCCCCAGTTTCTTCATTTATAAAATGAGGATTATAGTAGCCATGCTTATAGGGTTATTATGAGGAGTAAATTGGAGCTGATGCATGTTTAGGATCCCTAGAACAGTGTCTGGCACTCAGTAATTGCTTAATAAATGAAAACTATTATTGTTATAATTATCCTTATTATAAGTAAAGCTAAATTTGACAACAAGATTGAAAGACAGTGCTAACTTTCTGGCCTTGTGTTTTTACTGGCCGGTTGGTGCATAATTGATCAGCATAACTGAATTTATTATGGGATGGTCCAAATTTGCTAATCAAGTGATGCCCAATCTACCGTGGTTTTCCGAAAACAGCTCACATTTCATGTAATTTTAATTGCATCAGTAAACTCAAATTAACAGAAAATTTTAGCACGTTATAAATTAAATATTATTGAAAAATAATGTCAGCAAAAATTTTCCTATAACTGAAAGACCGGTTTTTAACATTTTTAGGATACAATTTTGAACCAGCTGAACACATTTACTACTCCCAGTGTAGAAGGGACTGTAACGTACCATCAGATCCCTAACAGAAGGATTCAGTGTTTATCCTATAAACAGTCTGAAGCCATTTTATCACAGAAGCTTAGCCTTGATCATGCCAGGCTCTCATTCTACTAAGTAGAGATCACTACTTTGGCTTTCACTAGATCATTTCTATTTACAAAAACAGGAATAGTAATTAGTTTTGCTGCACCGTTTCCATCAGTATCTTAATTTTGTTTATCAAGATGAAGACAGGGTTCATTCCATTTTCCAGTTCGTCCTCAAATATGTAGACTTTTCTATTAATACATAGATATTAAAATAAATAAAATAAAAAATTATTTCCGAGAAACTGGCAAAAAGATTGCTGCTTACATCAACAGGCATCCCAGACTAATACAGATCTTTCCTTTGTTAAGCCCTGTGAAATACCAATTTTAATTGGATGTCAAGGTAACTTTGAAATCAGTGTTCATAATAACCACTGTTAGTATGATTTTCTTGTAATAAAGGAGTCAATGAAAAACAATAGATTATCCACAAATAAATTCTACCTCTTTTCTTTAGAAATACATGAAGGATCTGTATATACATGTGCATGTGTGTTTTCTTCAAGGTAGTACTAAAATTAATTTTCATCTACCTTGCCTATATTATCTGACAAGATATACACACTCCCAAGAAAGGTCAATTCTAGAAAAAGTTGACTCCATGATCAAGTATAAGGAAGTGCACTCCAATTGCCTAACCAGGGAGCTAAGCCAAGCCAGAAATTGGTAAATGAGTAAAAATGTCTATTTAATATGTGTATATTAAAAATTGTTAGTTGGATTCTGCTTCTGCTGATTTGAGGGAATTTGTGTCATATGAATTATCTAATTACTAAAAGCAATCTAAACTGGCACTAACCTCTTCTAAAATGCGGCTATATTTAAAGATTTAGATGTCTTTGTCTGAGGTTACTACTTATTTAATAAATCTCCTACAAGGCAAGGCTTTTATGAATCAAGCTGACTTTTTTCCTTAGACAAGTTATGATGCACTATTGCCCTTCGAGAGAATTTCATTAGTGTAGGAAATGAAATGAGCTACAGTAAAGGATCTAATTGCCCCGTGTTTATAGCCTAGACCTTATAATAGCAGTCCAGTATCTTACCTTAACAGGAAGAGAAGCATTTGAAATATTGAGAGAACTGAGATTTAGTGACGCTGATGTGCTATATGAAATGTGAACAAATTGCATTTGAGTTGTTCCCAGTGCTGAATTAATTTCTCTCATTAAATTATCAATAAGTTGGGTTATTATTTACAGTTCTTTTTCTGTTTCTCCCTTTTTTCCTTAAGCTGCTTAAGGAGATATCTAGGAAGCGCAGAAGCATCCGTTATGGGAGAGAAGTTGAATTAAAGCCATATATTGCCGCTCACTTTGATGTCCTTCCCACTGAGTTCACCCTGGGGGATGACAAGCATTATGGTGGATTTACAAACAAGCAACTCCAAAGTGGTCAAGAATATGTCTTCTTTGTGTTAGCAGTAATGGAACATGCAGAGTCTGTAAGTTAATTATGATGGCATCTCTTTCCTATGGTATGCTTATACATTTTCATTGGAATGTGGTTATTTAGGGATTTGTAGGTATATCCATCCTCTATTTCTCATGAACTGTTATTAACTTAAGTGTAATAACAGGCCGCCGACTCTTTGGACATTACTGAATATACTCCCAAAGACTGAATTACAAATGAGACTGTGTCTCTGATGAAGGAAATTTACATGGCCCTCTACTTTGTGAAGTTCCAGACCAATAGGACATGGTTCCTGATACTTTTTGATGTAACACAAATATTATCGTGTTAGAACCAGCATTGCTCACAATCTCCTTCCCTCATCCTTTCAAAATGACTGCTGTCAAGAAAAGGAGACTGCTCTCATCTTGCATAATACCTGATTTACATTAGCCCCTGTGATTGCAATGGGAACTCACAAGCTCAGCCATTCAACATGGCATATTTCTGAAAATATTGGCTTTGGGGGTGATTGTATTTATTCTCCTATATTTGCCAAGTGAGACTACAGTGCCTCTACCTAGATTCATGAGGAAGGTCTATCTAGAAAGAGGCAAATACAACAGCTTCTTTAATTCTAGAAATTTATGAGTGACTTTATCAGTGAACAGCTGAGAAAGTTATAAAATAATTTAATAAAAGAGAGCATTCCTAAGGTATTCTAAATAATGAATTTTCTTCTGTTATGTAATCCATCTTGCTTATATGTCATTTTATGTTTCAGTTGCTTTGAATATTTAAAAAAAAGGGGGGGAGAGCTATTGTAGATAGGAAGGGGGTGAATTTTGAAGTGGCAGTTCACATGAACATTTAATATACATATTCTAAACTTCATTTATGTAATCAGCGTCTATATATGACAGGTGTGATAACTCTGAGCCAGTCATTTCCTGAATAGAAGCAGCTCATGATGTATCAAAGATTTCTCCACATCAGGTGTTAGGGTATACAGTGGGGCCTCTCTTCGAGTGACTGAAAGAATTATCCTGTGGAAAATCAAAACACAAAGGCAGCCCCTCTGCCTGGTTTACCTTTGTGCTCAGAATGTCATTTGAAAACAAAGTGATGGCCTTCCTGGAATTTTAATGTACAGATATGCTTTCTCTTTCTAGTTGAAGGTTTTAAGGCAGAACATCAAGGGAATGAAATGTTAAGAAATCATCTTTTTCTTTTATTCAAAAATGACTTTTAAATATTTGAGAGGAATTTTCTTTTAATAGCTCTAGGAATGTTTCAAAAAGCACACTTAGAGCATTGAGGTAGATCAGAGAATCCAGCAAAGGAGAGGAATCTCATTCAATCCTGCAGACTGAACCACTGAACTACACACTCTGGTTTCTGATGTCTTCCGCTAGTGTCTAAATATGTCACAACTGATAAAGAGTCTGCCCCTTTCTTTAGTATGTCATCTGCTTATTAATTATAGAATTAAGATTTTTTTTACATGTGTTAATGAAGTTGCCCCTTTATTCTGTCATCTTTCTCAGTATTGCTTCCAAATATATATGATACTTATTTCCTTTATATATCATAAATATTTTCAGGCCTGGAAGAGACTTGTATCCAGCTAGAGTTGTTTTGCAACAATAAAGCCTTTGTGTAAGCCTCAAATTTCCGTAACAGATTATAACAATGTTCCAAGGGTAGACTGGTAATTTGCAAAGAGAAAACGCTTTTCCCTCCCTCTCAAAGACACAAGCTATCCCCTAATCTATTGTCTCACATTAAGAATGTCAGATTACTGGTTTGGAATGATCCAAAATTTAATCTCTTCTCTTACTCCCATACATAAGAAATTATATTTTTCATGAGGCTGGTATCATTTTATGACTTCGTTTTCTTTTCATTTTCATACATCTCTGTTTCTTGAATGGGTTGGAAATCTATGTTCTTTGGGAAAACCTGTGCTTAGACTTCCATCTCAGTGGACCATGATTATTATCTTAAAGGTTCTTGGTAAAGAATTTCAAATCGGACAGTTTTGCCTAGTTCTGTCTACCAAACTATTTTAGCATTGCCTACAAAATGGAGTGGGTATCGTATAAACCAAAACAATGATATAAAGAATCATGTTACTTAAATACATAGTTCTTTGCCAAGTCCTTTGTGTCAATCCTTATACCTTATACCATATACATCCTTTTTTTTTTTTTTTTTTTTTTTTTTTGCTGCCTCTGAGAGGCTTGGACATACATACTGGGATTCCATCTTCTTTTAATGCATTAGAAAATCTGAAAATCTAGTCAGTCTGTTTCCTGGGCAGAATGACGAAAATGAGAAAGAAGAGTAATATACAAGCATTCAGTGGGACATCTGTTCTCCTGCTTGATGGCCGAGCTCATTGTACTTAAATTCAGAATAGATGCCATAAACTAAATTTTTTAAAGATGCAGGTTAAAACATTTAAATATATGTACTGATCATGAAAAATGAGCATATATACTGATGTCTTGACAGTTTCAGTCATTTGAAAAGATGAATATTTTTTGTCTTATTCAGCCAAGATTTGTTGAGAACCCACTAAGTACAAGGTTCAGTGCTAGCTGCTTTAAGCATATAAACACAAAAAATATATAAATCCCTGCCTTCTAGGAGTTTGTAGTTTCACCAAAGAAAATGAAGTATGTATACAAATAAAAAGCCAAAATAGAGTTTGGTGAGTGCCATTAAAAACAAAAACAAAAAAAAATAAGGACTAAATAAAAATTTAACTGTATTATTTGTACCTTTTTTTTTTTTTTTTTAAGAGGGGAATGACCGATCACTGCCAGTCAGTTAAAAAGGGGTGGTTTCACTGGAGGCAGTATTCAAGTGGGGGCCTGGAGAGTTGTTGTTCAATTTCAGGAGCTAAATGTTGTGGAACTTGTGAGGGAGTTGAGGAGCAAGAATAGAGCATTTAGGGAGTAGTAGCAAGAAGCCCACTGTGATGGAATGTGTTGTGTGTTGTAAGCAAGTTTACAGTAAAATTGTGGATGCCCTTGAGAATCGTGCTAAGTTATCTATGTTTTATTTGGGAATCACAAGAGAGCCTCTTGAAGGCTTTATAGTTGCAGTTTAGGATGATACCTCTAGCAGCAGTGGAGACTATTAGAGGAAGGAAGAAACTTGGTATGGTTAGGAGCACATAAGTAAGGTCCTAAAGAAAAGTGAGACTAGAAGGAGAGCAGATGGACCTGGGGGTCACTGATAAGCTAAAATCAGTGTTTCCAGTCTATTCCTGTTTCTATAAGGTAAAATCAGTATCCATTCCTAGATACTGAGAGGATGAGAGAATTTGGGAAGTCAAGAGGAAGGGAAGTAGTATCTGGAAAAAATTAAATTCATACTTAATTTGAACATATATGTAGGGGGTCTCTAGAAATGATTGGAAATGAAGATCTGGGATTTCAGAGAGTATCTGAGTTTAGGAACATTAATGAAGAGACATATTCTGCATGGAAGTTGAGAGTTAAAGCTTGGGCTAACCTTGCCAGATAAGAGAGGACAAGAGATGCTAGTAGAGAATAGAACTTAAGAACTTGGGTTCAGGGCCAGCCACAGTGTCTCACACCTATAATCTCAGAACTTTGGGAGGCCAAGGCTGGAGGATTGTTTGAGACCAGGAGTTCGAGATCAGCCTGGGAAACATGGTGAGACCCCCATCTCTATAATTTTTTTTTTTTTTTTTTTTAAAGAATGTTGGTCTATAGGATGGAGTCAGAGGCAATTAACTCAGCAGGGCATGAGCAGTTGGAAAGATGAGGACAGTACTGGTTTAGTACAAAATTAAGAGAGCCAGAGATAAAAATTTTAAAGAAGGTTTGATCCACTGTGGCAAATCTGGAAAAGTTGTCTGGAAAGGTAAAGAGTAAATAAAGGCAATTAGATTTGGCAAATGAAAAAAAAAAAAAGGACCAGTGGTGTTGTTGGAGTGAGAAGAGATGAGGAGTGAGTAGTAGAAGCAGAGCAGTATGGATTAGTTTCTGTTGGATTGGAAAGTAGAAGATAAGGTCTTGAAGGGGGCAGGTAGAGTCAAGATGTTTTCCTAATATAGGCTAAAATAGGACAGAACTAAATGGGATAGGATGTCATAGAAATAAAAATCATCGATATTTAGTCCATTTTTTCTCCAAGTAACTGTATTTTTGAAACATATATTATCAATTGTCTGTTGAGAACAGACATACCAGTCTCTGAGCAATAACTGTAATAAAATTAAATGAGAACTGCTAAATTCTTTTAAGTTCTAAAAATTCTATATTTTATAAAGCCATATCATCAATTCTGTATATCTCACATCTGTAATTTGAACTATGGAATTCCCTTTTGAAATTGTAGACTTTATTTGTTCATTGTTTGGCTTCCATTTCCTAACTAATATGCAGTAGTATTAAGTAGTACCAAGCACTAAGAAGCACAGTAGTACTAACGACTACCGACATTCACATTTAATTAAATACTGACTTATTTTTGAATGTAAATATGTACTTTGGTCTCCTTAACTGTATGATAATGCCTTGCGGGCTGGAACTCTAATTTTTCTCTTGATTTTCACATAGCATCTAACACTTTGGCCCAATGTAAATGTTCAGTAAACATTTTGCAACTGGTTAATTACTGATACTTTACGCTTCATAGGATCATTTAATACGCCATATAGAGAGCCCAATGAAAAAGTGTCTATGAAGTAATTTGTACTATCAAAATTACTTTATTATGAAGTATTTCACTCTATAAGGAAATTTGTATTTACAAAACCTCTTCCTTCCTTTCTTTTCTTTATTCTCCTCTCCCCTCCCCTCTATTTTGCTGATGTTGCTTCACACACTTTTCATTAAATTCACTATTTCCTCGATTTTTTGCTTCTTCTGATGTTAAAGGTACTCTGTAGAAAGTCATTATTTTATCACTGAAATAGACTCTGCTTTTCCTCAGAAGATGTATGCAACCAGCCCTTACTCCGACCCCGTGGTGTCAATGGATCTGGATCCACAGCCAATCACGGATGAAGAAGAAGGCTTGATCTGGGTTGTAGGCCCTGTCCTTGCAGTGGTCTTTATCATCTGCATTGTCATTGCTATTCTTCTTTATAAAAGGTAGGTTTACCCAATATTTCTGTTGCAATTTTAGAGGCTGCCTTATTTTTGAAGACTTGATCATTGTTCTATGGTCCTTTGGTGGTTGATTTTAGTAGAAATACTTCAGTGCCATTTCAGTTATTTTTGGAAAAGTGTTTACATTACAGTAAGATCAAAATGTAAAGACTGTACTATTTGGAATCTTATTCAGTTTTGGTATAGACTTCTGTTGTCCAACATGCATCTATTCCAGCCTCCAATCTTCTGAGCTGCTTTATGCAGATAAGCACTTTTCATAACAATTGAGGCATTAGTGCATTCACAAGTAAATAATTCCATGCAAGCTTTCATTTGATTGTTTTAGATAATTGCTCGATTTCAACATGTTTTTTGAAACATTATCATGATTTTACAATTTGTACATATCATAAATCTAATTTGCACAAGCGTTGAGATAGCTCCCTGTGGCTATTTCTCAAAATTTGGCAAAAGCACATGAAAATTAAGGATTAAGGAAGGGAAACAAAAAGAGAGGGGTGGAGAATGAATCGTCTCCCAATTTTTCTTCTAACTCTTATTCCACATCTTCACTGGTGAATTCGTGTATGTATCCAAAAAGGGATGCCAAGGTACCATATTCCTTTTTTAAAAAATATAATCTGAGTCTTACTATGACCATGTGTTGATTTGAGTAGTGTCTTTGACTACAATTAGAATGTAAATCTATATCTACCCACATTTTTCTGATATGCCACTCTTTTTCCATTTTATTTCTACCTCTAACATCTAATCTCTAATAAGATTTTTTCCCCTAGGTCACTGGCCGATCAGTTAGAGAACATTAGTAATTGTTCTTATAAATTCTTTCTGTCTTCAGATTATAATTATAATATAAATATGAACTTATAAAAAGTAGCTAAATAAAAGGATATAATATCCTTTCTTAAACATTTAAAATGACTAAATTCAAAATTACTTCCCTTTATATAGATTTTTACTTTTTTCCAGTCCAAATTTTATTTTCATAAAACTTTAATCCATGTTCTCATTTTCCTTGTGGTGTGTTATATTTTGAAATGCTACTGTGAAGGTGATCTCATGCCTCTACTACAAGATAGCTTCTCTCTCCCTGTCCCTATAACCTTGGCCTTCAAAATCTAAAAAGAGTATCTTCATTTTGATTCTTGCTTACATGCTTAATCTGATAATCTCATTTCCATTCACTCTTTTTCCTACCCATCTATCTCCCTTTTGGGGGTTTATATTAATTATTTTCACCCTCACTCCCTTGCTCTTCTGTCCCTGGAATAGCGTTTTTCCCCCATAACCTCTTATCTTGACTCTTAAAAAAAGAAACTCCTTCAGAACACTTCTCCTTTGAAAAACTTGTTTTTAAAAGGCTCCATTTCATTTTATTCCAGCATTAAGAGAGGGTTGAGAAAATAAAGGACAAATGAAAGAAGTTCATAACCATAACCCATTAAATTGCCTATCCTGTTTTAGAGTTATAAAGAATGAAAGAAATATCCATCATTATTTTTTTGTGTGGGAACACTGCCATCATTCAATTATCCATGCTGTAAAATAGCTGATAAAGCAAGTGATAGAAAGCCAAAATCTCCTCTCATTTGATGATTTGAATCTTCCATTCCAATCTGTATCTATAAGCATGTATCTTAAGGAACTCGTTGTATTTTATCACCTCTCTCCATGTAAGAGATAAGGGTAGGAAGCATGAGGTACCCACCTGCCCCGTGAGTAATCACAGACTCTGTTTGAGTCCAAGCAGGAACTGGTGCCCTTTGCTGTCTGTACGCTGCACTTTTTTCCGGAAGAGAATTCAATAATGAAAAGCAGTAGTATAATTCTAATTGTTTTCTGGGAAATATTTACTTAGGTGGTCACATACTACTATGGGAGTCGGGTCAAAAAACAAATGCTTGTTGACAGGTGTATTTCTAGACCATATCACATGACATTTTGTGATGATTTGAAATGGGAAAAATTAATGCCTTATTTTTTAAGTTATGTTTTATTTGGATATACATAGCTATCATTAAGTCATATAGTAACAGATGTATGTGGTATTTGTGAATCAGTTATGTAAATGTGACGAAATATGATTGTAACCCTAATAATTTTTAAAAGATAATTATTTTCTTTCTTCATCTGCAAGTGACAAAAAATCAACTCACTTATTATTTTTCCTAATCCCACAAAAAGAAGTATCGTATTTAAAGGTTTTATGACTCTGTTAAAATAGAGTAGCATTTTAGTGTGGGCCTATGTAAGCATCGTCTAATGCAATTGTTGGGAAATGCACACATCCTCGAATGCTAAGTATATTTAGCTAACCATCTGAAGGCCCATGAAGCGTTTCTGAAATAGAAATGCTTGCTTCAGCAGTAAAGAACATTCCTGACTTGAAATTCAAGTAGACCCAACAATGTCCTTCTTGATTATCATGAGGCAGTTTGAAAGGAAATCTTCTGTACCCAATGAATAGTGTCTTTTATAGCTTGGATCCTGAGCAAAGTTAATTACGTAATAAATACTCCATTCCCTCTTTTTAGGTGCCTTTCAGTTTATATACAGGTCATTGGTAATGACTCAGAATTGAAAGTATCATTATTATTATTATTGTCAGAATATTTTACTTCCCATATGCAAATAATGCTTTGAGAAGAGAATAAGAATAAAACGTTGTTAACTCACATTATATTGATCATCCACTTTATCATGTATCTCTGCTTCTAAGATGCTTGCATTAGCAATAGGTCTGTAGCTACAGATAGTTTTATCATATAAAGAAGTATATTTTACCCAGATGTCTGAGGAGACTTTGAGACTTATTCCTATTAGATCTATTCATGTGGAAATGGCACACTCTTTGATCTGGCATTCTGTTCATTTAACTTTTGTTTTTAATCTAGTAATCTGTACACCTATACTACATTGATCATCAGTAACAAAAAATATCACCAGGGCTTTGTAAGATCCCTAAAATACCCTCTGAATCATCAGAAAATCAAAATATATTTGATATATCTTTAATGTTATAAATTTTCTTGTACTGTAATTTTTAGAAAATATGATATGGGCCATGGCTTAAAGTACACATTACAGAGATAAGGTAGTAGCAATGTTCGGACCAGTACTGGACTGAAGAGCCAGGAAACCTGAGTCCAAGTCCCAGTTCTGTGACTAGCTGGTTGCATGGGGTAGAAATTCATGCCAACACTCTGAACCTAGCCTTCATTACAAAGTTAATGGGTGGACCAGATAATTAGACCTTTTAAATATAATGTTCTATCATCTGAAAACATTAAACACCAGGTAATACTATTGGTATTGCATGTCCATCTACTCTGACAAAAAATCCACAAGGCAATTGAAAGTTCGTATTCTGTATATCTGTTACATATGTAAGGCTTTTCAGACTTTTTTCCAGAACTGTCCAAGAATTATTTATATAGAAAATAAACATTGAAAAATAAACTGTTAACCGTACCTCTATGGAAAAGCATTTCAAGATGGATGAAAAGTGTTTATTACATACTATGGAATCAAATAAAGTGTAGATCAGGTGGTCTTAGAAGTCTGAGACATACTTTAGGCAAAATTAACATCCTTGAATGGTAATAATCTAGCCTGCATGCACACTGTTTTTTCATCCCCATCTCAGGATGTGGAAACCATGAGCTAGATGAGACTAAAATATAGGCTTCAGTTTTTCCAGCCTTTTCCAGCTCCAACACTGGCTCTCTGCAAGCTTTGTGTCTTTAGTCTTCTCTTTCTGTATCAACCCTCCATACTGTTCCAAGCCCTCATCAAAGAAAGAAATGCAGTCCAGAATATTTTGAGATGCTATGAAGAAATATGTGGCCACACCCAACCATACCGGAAGCTGCTGGTTGACTCTGCTTTCTGGCTTCTGAGTAGGCCCTCCCTAGGTTAGGAATGCCTTTCCTGTCACTCCCCTGCCACTCCTTTTGGCTTGGATAACTCCAACTCTTCTTTTGGAAGTAAGCTAGGATGCTACCTACTTAATCAAGGCTTTCTGGGTGCTTGCCTCATCTTCTATCCTCTCTTCTCCTCCCCTCTAGCAGTTCGGGCTACCTTAGGATCACTTTTCCGAGACTCTTAAACTACTTTCTACCTGTCTATTATAGAACCTACTGCATTACTGTCAATTCGCCTTTTCTTGGCACTCTGCCTCCAGTAAACTGCAGGTCAAGGACTCTGTCTTATTCATTATTGTGTTCCTACTGCCTAGTAGAGTGCCTGGCACACAAAAATATTGAATAATTAAATGTATACAAGTCAAACAGTATTAAACAAACTCAATTCCTTCTATGTGTTGGCTCCATCACTCAATATCACCTTTATTTTGGCTGGCAAGAGTTGCAATAAAATCCTTGGCCTGTAATTTAAATTTGCCAATTGTGAAAGCTTTCAAACTTAGATATTTGTACCACATATGTACCCAGGTGTATGGTGAGGCTGACCTTTATCTAGAACTATGCATTTGTGCATATGAATACTCAAGCAGCCTTTTAATCCACAGAACTGATAATTCACTAGGTGGTTTTCCATCCTGAGGCATAGATTTTTCTACAGCTGATTCCCTGATAAAGTCATTGATTTAAAAAAGTAAGCAAATTGGAAACATTTATGTAGAATTTTTTTTAACCTGGCACACTAAGTAAATCACTTTAAAATTAAGAATAAGAAGAATTAACCAATGTGTTTGATATCATTTTCATCATTTACTTTGTATGTGTGTGTTTGTGCAATTTAAATGTGGATGTTTTATTTTTGAAAAGAGATGGATTGAATTGTCTCACAGGGCCAGATATTCCAGCCACTTGGGTATATATTTCATTGCATCAAGAAGAACTTAGTACCTTTATTTTGCAATTGGGAACTCACTGAAAACTTTGCAATTTGCCTCAAAGTGAAGATTTTTAGATTAATTGTTTTCAGGAAAAGGTTATATGCTGCAGAAATAATACGGTTGTTTAAACAATCAGCATAATATCACAGGTGAAAGGAGCTATAAGCATGAACTAGTTGTGTTCACAGACAGCACCACAGACTAGGAAAATACATATTCTGTCAATGGCTGGTAATAAAATGTTTTTCTGGATGAGCCCAACCGTATAAATGGGCCATGCTCTGTAGATTTATAATGATGAGTATTATATTTTCCTAAACTGAAGATGCGGTTAATCCTTCATTGGAAAAAAGATGTGGCAAGAGGTATTTGAAGAAATAATTTCTGCCACCTTATTACCTTTTGGTATATTATTCAATTGTGCAAATTTCTGTATAGTTCAATACAGTTTGTACATATTTAATATGAAAGGAATGACATACCTCTTAATTGAAGGCTTTTTATTTTAAATGAATGAATTTCTTTTGCGGAATGATGCTGTATTCCCATTGAATACATTAGTAGTTTTCTCATAGCATGTTTTTTAAAAATCAAATTATCTCTCCACTATCAAACACTTCCTGGAATATAATTAATTGTGGCATTATTTTATAGTTGATGGATAAACGTGCATGTGTCATTCACACACACACACACACACGCACACACACACTGTGTATTCAGTGATGTAACTTCATGTCAGAGCTCTGTTTAGTTCATAATCAGAGGTCCATAAATATTTTGATTCGCTGTCGCTTCCGAATGTATGTCAGTTGTGTGTCTTTACTTGTGAACACTATTTCTTGAATCTTGGTTGTCATGGTTATCCTTGTTACCATTGGCCAACTAACATTTAGCCTTTCTTTTTCCTTTTTTTGCTGCATTAAAATGGAGCAGTAAACCCGACAGGTGAGGAATAGAGAACCAAACCCCTTTCATGTTCAGTAAGAAAAAAAATAAACTGGTAGACTTCGGAGTTGTTGAAGAGGGGAGGGCGGGGCTGCATACAAAAGATGATACCTGGCACGTGGAAGATGGGCAAAGCCTACATATACACAGTGACTTCATTAAAATGATTCTGGGGAAGATAAATATTTTGTTTATAAAAGAAAAAAAAAACAGATTAAAGGCGAAGTTTAAAAGATAGTATACAAACCAATATCTGAGTTTTGTTTGTGGTCAAGATTAAAATGGGCATTTGTGTGTGTTGATGTGTTTACAGGGCAGAAATGTGAGGTGTCTCATAAACTGTTTTGTTTTGTTTTGTTTTGTTTTTACCAAAGATTAGTTTTCAAGTTTGACTACAGATCACCTAATGATATTAGCATTTTCACACCCTGCAAATATTGATGACAGTGCCTTAGTGAGAACTCTTCCCTAATTCAAAATTATTATCCATGTCTCCCAGTCTGGAATAATAATAGCAATAATAATAGCTAAAATATGCTATGTGGTTATTGAATGATTAATCCAAACTAACCTTCTAGCTTTCTAACTCATATCTATATATTCATATACACTTATGTATAAATATGCATATAACATATATATAAATTCCTGATAAAAATCAAACTACAAAAAACATCTCAAAGATCACCTACCTTTCTCCCGGTGCCATATTCCAGTGGTTTCCATTGAGTGGCCTCTGGACCAGCAGCCATAGCACCAGCATCACCAGGGAACTTGATAGAAATACACATCCTCGGGCCCCACCTCAGACCTACAAAATCAGAAAGTCTAGGCATTGACCCACCAGGCTGTATTTTAACAAGTCTCCCCAGGTGATCCTAATGCATACTAAAGTTTGAGAACTATTGCTGCATTATTTACACTAAAATCACTTTACATTGGTCAGCAAGCCTCATGTTCAATGATAAGAATTTTTAAACCTCTATGAGGGTGTCTTTTTTGTGTGGACATCTCTAGCGTCCATTTATCCAGCAGAAGAACCCATGCAGAATAGTGTGTGTTTTTTTGTTTTGTTTTTGTTTTTGTTTTTGTTATTCAGCCAAAAGACGAAACACTTTAAACTCACTTAAAATACTACCTTTCATCGGCCGGGTGTGGTGGCTCACGCCTGTAATCCCAGCACTTTGGGAGGCCGAGGTGGGCAGATCACGAGGTCAGGAGAGCAAGACCATCCTGGCTAACATGGTGAAACCCCGTCTCTACTAAAAAATACAAAAAATTAGCCAGGGATGGTGGCGGGCGCCTGTAGTCCCAGCTACTTGGGAGGCTGAGGCAGGAGAGTGGCATGAACCCGGGAGGCAGAGCTTGCAGTGAGCCAAGATCATGCCACTGCACTCCAGCCTGGGCGACAGAGCGAGAGACTGTACCTTTCATCATAACACTTTTCCCATTTTACAACTTAATCAATGCTTCCTTTCTCTATTAAAATGAGAGAGTTGAGCCAAAATTTAGACATCATCTTCTAATCTCCCTCTGTTTTATACATAAAGAAACTGAAAAGAAAATTTGTAGTTGACACATACCAATAGTGACAGAGTTGGGAATACATTCTTCATGTTATCAGAAACAAGTATTTGGATTGATTTACTTGAATATTGATAGTAGATATTTCTAACAAGTATACCTTTCTTTGAAAAAGCTCTGCTCACATCTCTGTATATCTTTGTTTCAGGACCATAAATATGATCTTTCACTCAACTTCCCTGTTATTTCTTCCCCCCTGGCTGGGAGCCTAATTTTTTCTTCCCCCCTAGATGGGACCCTAGGAGAAAGCAAATGCCCCATAGACCAGAGTGGCATTTGTGTTGTGTATTACCCACATGCCAAACAACTGCATGCTTGTATAGTATTAGCAGTTTCTGATAGATCCAAAATTTCAAGTGATCTTCCATTTCCTTTTCACCTACATAACTCCTCCACATAGTAGATACTTCTCATTGCAAGAAATAAACTTACACTAACATTTTATAGTCTTAATAGAAAAAATACATAGTATAGCAAGGCAAAATTTAGAATCTGTTTGTAGTCATTATTCTTTCCATTTTTCAAACTGAAAATGAGAATGATGAGACCTCTGAAATTTATCAGGAAAAATGTTACTACTTACATTCATGTTGGGCCTAATTTAGACCATTATATGTCTTTTAATATTTTGTGAGAATGTTTTAAAACTCTTTAGTATTATTAGCAATGATGACCAAACTCTTCATCTTCCTCATCTTTCCTAGAAATGTTTTCTGTGTTAGAAAACAATCATTCTAGCACATCACATAATAGGTGTTTAAAAATAATGTGATAAGAATGTGGACAGCCAGAATTGTCCATGTTGTGATCATTGAAACAAAACTAAGCAAAATACATTTAAGCAACTGGTTTTCTATTTGGCTTGGATTTCAGGAGACTGAGGTCTTGGAAATAATTTCATTTGAATAGACAATGAAAGAGAAGTTAGTTATTAAATGTCAGTAAATCCCTCCCTGTTCATTAAAATTATGAATTGTAATTTTAGTCCTATGTCTTGAGTTTTCTGAGACTCAACATCTTTGCAACAAGATGTAATTCCTAACTTTCCTGGAACCAGAGAAATTGACTAAATTACTTTAGAGAGTTTTCTTTTCTATCCCTCCAGCTCAGTGTCACTCACCCCAGCCACAGGGAAAAAGAAGATAAGGAGGTTACCCTACAATACCTGTAAGAGTAAAGTAATTTTCTTGCCCGGATAGATATTTCTAATTCTGGTTTCCATAATCTTGCAAGAATGGCAGAGCCACGTTGGGAAGAGAGAAAAATCTAAATTTTTGTCATAGTGCCTGACACATTAGTAAAGAAATGCATCTGTGCCAGCTTAACACAAAATGATCAAAACATGAGAAAGGCCATTGGTATTATTTGAAATGAGAAGACCAACCACATGTTTCATGTCGAATTGACTGGCTGGCTGCTCCCAGTCATGTTTCATTAACCCATTTTGATTTTGCATCTTCAGTGGTAAAAGGAATCTCTTAGTGTGGTGAGATGAAGACTCATAGCATAGACACAGTGACATTGCCTACTCTGAAACTGGTCATCATGTCCTCCTTTCACATGATCTTCTGAGCCTGTCTTTTTCTTCCTCCTCATATCTTTTTCACTAGCCCTTTGTCTCTTCTCTTTCTTTTCTTCTTTTCTACTCCATAGAACTGGAGCTGCCAGTGCCTTGGCAGGTCTCAGAATACTGCTCACCTCTGATTGGTGGAATGGTTTGGCAGTACATTTTGTCCCAAGGCTGTATCTGACACTTTTAGATAGAAAGAGGAAATCCTGAGACAGGTTACTGTAAGGTACCGAGAAAGCAACATGTCTAATAGGACTGAGCCATGAAAATGTATTCCATCAAGGATGTTTCGTCAAAGGCGTTGCACTTGAGCAAATCATGTGCACTTTCCCTTTGTATCAGTCTTCTCTTCATCCCCTGGTTAGTTTTATTTCATACAGATGAGCAGAAATGGGAAGAAAGGCTATTTAGCCGGAGTCCTATGGCTAACCATAGAACGACCTGGGTGGCATTGAATGAGAGCCCATTGCCACAGCAACACTAATGAGCTGTACCACAGTCACATCGAACAGAGGAAAGTTCCTAAACTGTGCAGTACCTGTTTCCCCCAAATGAAAATGCCTTTGCTTTGAGCAGCGGTGAGATACTGGGACTGTGACTCCGGCATAGAGATTGCAGGCATTAGTATTTGGGAAAAAAAGCACTATTTGAAAATGGCTTCTGTTGATTAAATGGGTTTTTAATCTAATTCAAGCTGGAAGAAGATAGTTATGACTCTGTGATTAATTTTTTTATTGGATAAAGAAATCTTATATACAGATCTGACATTTCTTGCTTAGAAATTAGTTAAAATTACATAATGAGAGCTTAAATGGGGATAATAAAGCTAGTAGATAGCTTTTAAAACAAAGTTAAAATGTATTGTGTGAAGAATCACATTTATAACAAGGCATTGTCAATGGCACCTTGAATGATTATCAGGAGAGCTGATCTACCCACCAGGTGAAATTACTTTTTCTCTCATCTTTCTATGAACCTTTCATTAACAAAATATTAATCACAGCTTAGTACTGTTAACAGCTAACACTATTTTTTTTTTCACATTTGAAAGAGAAAGGGGAGGTTTGTTTAACCTGGTCGCGATTCTCCTAGGTCTTAGGATAACTTGGCATCTGAAAAATGCACTTGTATTTACCTGCCGTATGGGAAAATCTAAGGCATCTCCTCGCTGTAGTCACCACTTATATATACTTAGGGCAAAGGTGGACAGATTTAGCTGTTCAGCTTAAGCTCAGGTAGTTTCTCTGCGGTAACAACAGTCTTAGTATTGGCGACTCAGGGGTATCCTCTCCTGTTCCTCACAAATAGAGCTAGTAGATAAGAGAATTGCTCGATAAGGGTCCACGTGTATCTCACCAAGATCCCCTTGAAGCCAAAAGGCAGAGTTGCTGAATTATTTAATCATACAGTTGGAGCAGGACTTCGAGATCATCCACTTAAACAAAAATTTTAGACCTGAGAGAACAATTAGGCCAAGGGAAGAAAAGCAACCTGAACTGGGTCACAAGTCAGCTGGGTTAAAATGTTGTAAACCCGAAAACTTGGGAGGTGGGGGGGAGTGCAGGTGCAGCTCTCTGCTTTTTTATCTGTTTCCATTGATTTTTGTTTTCTTCTTAAACTTCTATTTCCCCCCTATAGGAAGAGGGCAGAGTCCGACTCTAGAAAAAGCAGCATACCGAACAGTAAGGAGATCCCTTCACACCACCCAACAGACCCCGTAGAACTGAGGCGCCTTAACTTTCAAACACCAGGTAAGAACCACCACACATCTAATTCACACACAGTCTTTACCAGAAGTTGTACAGCTCAGTTGATATTAAGAGTTGAGACCCGGCGTGATGGCTCACGCCTGTAATGCCAGCAGTTTGGGAGGCCGAAGGGGGCGGATCACGAGATCAGGAGATCAAGACCACCCTGGCTAACATGGTGAAACCCCGTCTGTACTAAAAATACAAAAAATTAACCGGGCGTGGTAGGGGGCGCCTGTAGTCCCAGCTACTCGGGAGGCTGATGCAGGAGAATGGCGTGAACCCGGGAGGCGGAGCTTGCAATGAGCAGAGATCTCGCCAGTGCACTCCAGTCTGAGTGACAGAGTAAGACTCTGTCTTAAAAAAAAAAAAAAAAAAAGAGTTGAAGGTATCACTTTATTTTGAACCATTTTGTTCATCCTGCTCTTTTATTTTACTATTATGGAGGCTTGCCCAAGTAAAAGTCTGAAAGGAAATTAAGTTTTTTATGCAAACCTGAAATAGGGTGGGGAAGAAAAAGAAATGTGGTTCTCCTTCAAATTTTGGAAGAACTGTAGTCTTTATTATAATATCTATCATTTTTATGGGCGTGAGTATTGTTTTTATTATTTCCAATGACATCAATCTGGAAAGAATTCAGTTTCTTATCTTATCAAGTGAATAAATGAGTAAATGGATGGATGACTCTACACATCTTTCACCCCATGGGAAAGCATAGATTTGTTCTGTATTTTCCTTTTTGTTTGTGTTTATGGCACTCTGAAAGAGGAAGGAAGAAAGGGAGGGAGGGAGGGAGGAAAATGAGGTAAATATTTTTAAATATTACCTCTACTAAATGTCACTGATCACTTCTTACTAGAGAGAAACATAAAGTGACTGAGGATAACAAAAATTATACTTGTTTCTTAAAATAAAGAACATTAAGTGCCTCAACAGAGGAACACTACTATTCCTGCTGAGGGGCCTTCAGTACAATATTGTTTATTCAGGCCTAGATCTCTTTTGCTTTCATTCAACTAAAGCATGTGTATACCAAATGAATGGCAAATTTTGAATGGCAGAGGGAGCTGAAAATATAAAACCGAGTGACCCTATCTTAATACGTTATGATACTGAACAAAGTGAAGAGCTAATCTAAGAAGTCTTTGGGATTAAAATGTGGTTGTAGTGTTGTCCCCCAAATTGTAGACAAGTTTCTTTGTGTCGTATGGATGTTCTGATTCACAGTATGATACACTGCAAATGTATTACAGTACACATTTTACAGTGAATTATTTTGAACGTGGTTTATTATGTTCAGCATATTTTCTCTTTTACATGTAGCTATACCATAGTAACTAGTAATTCTTCAATTGAAAGAAATGTTTAGCATTTTCAGTGTGGCTATACAATCATCATAATGTTGGTATTCAAAAAAAATTCTAACTCATATGAGGTTAGACTTAAAAAAAAAAAATTATTTCATCATGCACCGGGAACGTGTGCATGATGATTGAACAAACTTGTGTCATCTTCCAGGATAGATTGTAGCCCTCTGGATGCATCATATTGAGTCACCTACTCAGTACTTTATTAAGGCAACTTGATATAAATTAAGTTACTGTAGTAAATTTCGTTGGTTCAGCGCTTTTTGAAATAGGTGGATACTGACTACTTCAGGCTATAGGCAACTTCTTTTTGTTTTTCATTGTTTGTTTGATTGATGGATTTTTTGAGAGAGGGTCTCACTTGATTGTTCAGGCTGGAGTGCAGTAGCAAAATCATGGCTCACTGCAGCCTCAACCTCCCAGGCTCAGGTGATCCCCCTACCTCCGCTTCCCAGGTAGCTGGGAATACTAGGGCATGCCACCACACCCAGCCAATTTTTTGGTTTTTTTGTGGAGATGGAGCTTGGCCGTGTTGCACAAGCTGGGCTCCAACTCCTGGGCTCCAGCAATTCATCTGCCTCAGCCTCCCAAAGTGCTGGGATTACAGGCATTAGCCACCACTCCTGGCCTACAGGCAACTTCTTAATAATGGACCCAGGAATTTATATTCCTTTCAATTTGGCAAATTCAATGTATAGAGGACCCAAAAGCTGAAGAAATGATGTGCTACATGATTCTTTGCACTTCTTACCTCATCACCCTTTAAAAGAGCAACATATTGTGGAAATAGAAAAATGGATCAGATTTCTCAGTACCTTGCGACTATCTCTGCACTGCCCCTCCTTCCTCTGTTTTTCACATAAATGTCATTTGTGCTGGAACCAACCTTGGTCTTCCACCAGAGGCAGAAATACAGTATAAGGTTGAGCAGAAAGGCAAAGGTACCCCAAAAGAAGAGAGCCAATGAAAGTGCTATGCCTCACCTCCTCTAGCACCAACAGAAAATGTTGCCAGAAATAAATACAAAGCAAGAATGGGAACTATGTAGAGAGAGTGATTAGCAGGTGCTGGTGACTGCAGGTAAGAGAATAGGAATGTCTTCAACCAGGAGACCTCTGGCTGCAAGTACTTTTCACTTTCAGATGTAATTTTGCAAATATGGCCAAACTCAAGAATTCTATTGGCCATTTAATTTTCCCAATGCATTTGGGAAGATTATATCCATTTATAGAGAGAATCTGTTAAATTTTATATAAGCTAGCAGAAAGAAAAATGAATGTTACAGTTGTAACATCTCTTGTATCACCAATGACTTTATGAAATTAAAATGGGGACCTGAGTATAAAGGAAGGTGTCATTTAACTAAAGTTAGACTTATCATCTCAAATGGATGAGGGAATAAAGTGGACAAAATGAGATAAGAGAGGAGCTGTAGTAGAGGAGGAGACTAGAAAAGGAGAAATTGTCCTAAGATCCTGGCACATCTGTTCACTCAGGAAGCAGTACATTATGCCCTTTAGCTCAGGTAAGCAATTCACTTAAGCTTGATTTGTTGAAATTGTTTATTTGCCATCCAAGCTCTATGGTGTGGCCTGCTGTCTGGAAAATTTATACCGTTTTACAAAGGAAATAGACTCTGCTGTTAATGTGAAATTCATAGAGATGTGACCATTTGCTTCAGGCTGCATAGATTTTAGCCAGTGGCTGTGAATTACCTTAATTACTTGTCAATAGGATGAGAGCAAAATGTGGGGTTATTAACCCAATAACCCTTTTGTGCTTGTTCGTCTCCTCTTTTTCACGAAGAAGCAAGGGTTTTCTTGGAAAATGAAATAAAATAATCCTTTATTAGGTGTTGCATAACAGGTGCTATGATGCTTAATTTTTAGGTTTTTAAATTATTTACATTTCACTATCTGAAATGTGGCTTTTTAGTATATTATATCTACTATGAATGTATAATTGCTTATCCCCAAACATTATAACACTTGAAAATATTTATTAATAATATACATAAGTAGAGAATTAATAATCCATATCTTCTGTTAAAAAAAAAAAAAAAAGTCTTTCAATGAAATAAGATGGCTGTGATTTATATAACCAGTACCTAGTACAGAGTTTGTTCCCGAAGGCAAATTGATTTCCACTTCTGATGGGTCTGTTGTGAAGGATAAAATAGCAAACAAACATTACAATTTGAAATTCAGTAGGCCTTTCAGAAGGTAAAGAAAGCACATTGCTTCGTTCAGTGATTCCATAAATTCTACTTTCTCAAAAAAAAATCATTTTGTGAGTGATAGATTCATTTACATTCTAAGTTATTTATTCTTTTGGGGAATCTAGATTTAAGGATCCTTTTTTAAGGATCCTTTTTTCCTTAATTCTGCCTGTTATTCCCAATTTCATATAAATATAGCATTCCAACAATCTAAGTACGTCAAAGAACTGTGCCCTTAAATGCGGTACCACAAACACAGTTGGGTCAGAAAGTTAAGATTTCCGTCCACTGTTGCTCAGCTAAGGCACAAAGAGAAGACAGAGAAACGTGCTTTTTTGTCAGTATAACCCTCCTTGTGAGGTTGGAGAGTGTGGGGAGGAACATTGCTTTAGCACATTTTCAAACTTTTAGACGAGAATCAAGTCACTGTCTGACACTGCTGAGAGCCTTCCAAAGAAGTAGCTTGGACTTGAATCTGTACGGAGCACTTTAAGGAGTTGCTGTATCTTCTCATTCTGAAGTCTCTGATGCTGCTGGCAGCTAGAGGTAGTTCAGGGCTGAAGCCCACTAGTCCATTATTGGCAACAAAGTTCTTGGTCTTTTTAGCATTAAGATGAGTGAAAAAAGAATCACCAACCCAGCCCGTTCTGAAAAACCATTTTATTTTTCTCTTATTGAGCATAATGTAATTGTGACTTAACCCATTGCTGCATCAGAGACAATATGGAATTGTTGAATAAATTTTTTTTGTCCCCCTAAATGGTAGTTTTTCTAGGACTAGGACTAGATTTAGGATAAACAGTCTGATAGGATTCCAGGATGCTGCATAGTGTTAGGACTAATCTGTTACTTAAGTGATGGATTCACATGGTAAGTCTGGACAAATATACAGGAATATTTATCATTTTTTGTGCTTGCACACTTTCATTATTAAAGTATCCTTTACAATGAAAAAAAAAATCATGTCAGTCTGTGAAGCACTGTATGTAAGCACCTGAACAGGCTGGGGAAGCTCATGCTTTCACAAGTGAAAGCAGGCACCTCAGCTTGTAAGTATTTTGCACGATTGTAAATATCTGTCTTATTGTAGTTCAGATGGCATTGTATAGCCAAGTTATATTTGAGACAGCATGAGCTACCTCATCATTTAAGAGAATAATGATTTAAACAATAAATCATTGATTATTAGTGTACAAGGTCAGCCAGAATTAGTGTGGAACAGGCAATTTAAGTAACATCAGTTGTTTCACCAATAACTACCAAATTAAAATGGGGACTTAAGTATATAGGAAGGTATCATTTAGCTGACGTTTGACTTATTAGTTCTAACAGATAATGGAATAAGATGGGCAAGATAAGTAAAAGGGAGAGGTGATGTAGTAGAGGAATTTACTGGAATTATTAACTGCTGATCAAGT